CCCTCTCCCCTGATTTTTTTATTTTTTCCCTAAGACTGCATAGAAACATCAAGTTCAAATACTATGGCAAATGCTTCTATCAATTCTGCCTTTGTGCTTAATGGATGAGCTTTGAGTTCGAGTCAACAGAAAGTTCAACTCGAGCTCTAGCTTAGGTTTGCTGAATGGGCGAACTAAATGGCCAGATTTGGCTGCACAAATGAACCTCTGGCTGCTGCAATCAGATTTGATTCATTCAGTGCTGCTATTACTCATCATGACCATATTTGGTCAATGACATCACCCAAGATACCCAGCCAGTTTGTTGACATTCATCAGCCTGCGGCAAGGCTGCAGCTAGAGTATCGGTGTTAGAGGATCGTTGTTGCAGGTCGTCCTGTTGTGACGTTGATCATTGTGATTGAAGATAGATCTGCATCGCTGGAGATGTGATTAACACTGGATTAACATTGACTTTTTTTAATGAAAGGACTTATTACCGATTCACATAGAGCACGTGTCAAACATAAGGACCAGGTTATTTCACGTGGCCCTTGCACCTCTCCTGCAGCTTTTTAAAAAATGTAATCACTAAAATGCCATTTAGTTTTAGTCATCTGAATTGTTTTAGTTTTAGTCAACTAAATATCATAAGATTTTAGTTGACTAAATCTACAGGAGATTTACTCTACAAAAATCTAGTGGGTTTAGTTAAAGAGTAATTTAAGAATTTCTCTACAATTTCCAATCTCATTACATACTCCTGGAGTAAACATCTGTTAACCTGTTATGACTTATAGTATTAAGGTTTGAACATGCAATACAGACACAGATTTAACTGTTGTGATATATAACATGTCTTTATTTAGATTAAACCAAGTCTTATAAAGAAACAATAATATTGAGCATTTTTTTACTTCACATAGCCCACCTGAGAGTCCACACAGCCCACCATAGAACCTGCACAGCCACATGAGAGCCCACACAGCCCACTATAGAACCTGCACAGGCACCTGAGAGTCTGCACGGCCCACCACAGACCCCGCATAGCTCATCTGAGAGTCCGCATAGCCCACCATAGAACCTGCTCAGCCACCTGAGAGACTCCACTCTTACACTTGAGTTTGACACCCCTGACGTAGATGGTGGGAACCATTATCTTAAGAGGGCTGGCAAATTCAGATTCAGACCCCAATAAGGATAAGGGTCTGGTATGGATTTTTAAGTTTTATCCATTTCTATTGCATTGGATTCCTACTTCAGATTGATATCAGAAGTAATTTAGCTGCAAATGTATTTGTTTTTTCTTCCTGAATGCCATGGAGGGAAGGAGGGAATAAGCCCACAGTGACCACATTTGATCTTGGTTGTCACCACTACTAAGTGTCTAGAGACCTCATATATCACAGTACGGTATTCTGAATATTACAACATATGTACTTACCATATCAACAAAAGCCACATACATGAATAACCCTGCTGTTAGAGCAAAGATCCACATTGAAACATTCTCTGCATAGTGGCCTATAAGAATCCCAGTTATCATACCCAGGTACGAGAGCATAGCAGATAGAACGTTGTATAACACAGCTTGTTTTACAGTCATTCCAGCTTTCAGAAGGATGGCAAAATCCCCTAGAAGAAAGTTTGAGGAAACAATGTCACTAGATTAAAGCAGAAAAGCACACATATGAGAAAAGACAGATCAGCATTCTTTAGAGTTTATGAACAGCAGACATTCCAGACTAAAATAAGCTTAAAAGCTTAAATACTACAAAGGCATAGGAGTCACACGTATTGGCCTCAGCATGAAGTTATTGGAGTAGTGTGGTGTATGCGGTGTTCAGGCATGAATAAAAGAATATGTTAATTAAAAAGTAATTTTTTAGGACAGGCTTCTAACTGTAATAAATGGAACCTGTGGCATGCACACACATGGGACAAACTGGCCACTTCATTATATTTGGGAGATGGATTACCACTAGGGATGCACCGATATATCGGCCGCCGAAACATATTGGCCGAAAATGGCACTTTTGGCATAATCCTGAAAGTGGCATTTTACTGCCGATACATCGGCGCATCCCTGCTTTCTTTCCTCCCCGCTGGGCACTGCTCTATGTCCCAGCGGGGAGAAGAGAAAGTGACAGCCAGCCGAGCGCTGCGGTGGAGAGCGCTGTGAGCGGCCGGTGTCTCCTCCCACACCGCTCTGCCGCCTATCACAGTCCGGCAGAGCGGTGTGTGGGCGGAGACAGTGCTGTCACAGGAGGCTGAGCTTTCCTCTCTACACTGCTCGATCAGCCTAAAAAAATAAAAAAAAACATTTTCGGTATCGGCCTGACATTTTTAAAAATTTCGGTTTCATTTCAGTTTTAAAATTTCCATTTCGGTGCACCTCTAATTACCACCATTCTTTGAATTAGCCTTACAAATGGGATACACTATGTGGTTTTAAAAGCTCTGATTAGTCTGGCCACTAATGAGCCAAAACTTAAGCACTGATATGGTGCCAAAGGCTACTGTATCCCACAGACTATTAGTACTATATTAATAAATAAACCCTTAACTGCATTAAGTCAAAGTCTTGAAAAGACAGTATAAATGCAAGAGATACCTCCATTAAATCAATCGCATATTTATTATGTTAGCATCTTTGCCATCATACAATAGTTAATGTGACAGGTCTGGACTGGGCCCCTTTATTAAAGTAGATTCTGCCTTAATAAAAGAGGTCCTATAAAGTCCTGAAGTATTGGCTACTGTATGGTGACAATGATGGCATTAATAAATATTGGCATTCAAATATTATTTACATGCTTCTTGGAGCTGTTCATCTCATCACTTCAGCACCCAATACCCGCAAGTGACCATATGATGTGCAAATGACATCCTCCATGAACAATCACAAAGCTATTAAGATACAGCAGTGTAGTGAAGGCTTACCCAATTCATGTGGTAGTTCATGACAGAAAACCGCTACAGACGTACTTAATCCACTGGATAAGCCTTCAGTAAAGGCGGCTCCTGTAATTTAAAGCAACCGTTAACATACCCCCATGTATTCCTTGAATGCAAATAATGAAAACGTAATACCTTAAAGTAGTATTGAACTCTCAAACTTATTTTTATAATTAATCCAAATCAAAACAAATATACACTGTGACAATCTGCTGAGCTATAGAAAAACGTTTATTACCTGCACAGTAAGTTATTCATGTACAATTACTGATCATTCGTTTGAATGAAAAAGTAGTCTTACATTTTTTTTTTTAGGTATACACAGCAACAAAAAAAAAAAAATCAGCTTAATATAAATAATCTTTTGAATATGTGCCAATGCTTTAAAAATTAAACTTCTATGTACAATTTGCACTTGTACAAGTTTGTGTGAGCCATATTTGCCAAGTACATATGAAGGCGCTGTTTTCTGCTTTATCATGCTACAGAGTGATTGTGCTTCTCAAAATGGAAGCCTAGAAGTTACCCGTGCTTCAGAGACTGTTATGGGGCCAAATAATGCAATTCAAACAAAGCAATTTAACAGCGTATATGAGGGATGCACCGATATATCGGTCGCCGAAACATATCGGCCGAAAATGAGCTCTGCAAGCAGCCGGCGTCTCTCCTCCCACACCGCTCAGCCGCCTATCACATTCGGCAGAGCGGTGTGGGGGCGGAGACAGCCCGCACTGTCACAGGAGGCTGGGTTCTCCTCCCTGCTCCGCTCGCTCAGCCTCCTGTGACAGCGTGTCAGAGAGGAGAACGGTACAAACACAGTGATCGCTGAGTGTTTGTACATAATTAAAAGGACAGAGTATGTGGACTATATCCTCAATTATGAATGAATGTGAGTGATCTACATCACCTCCTGTTCATTCATAGTTGTAGTTATAGTAAACATACTATGTTATCAATGAACAGGAACACTCAGTATAGAGGATTCCTGTTCATTGATAACAGGGGATACAGAAGACAAAGTCCTCTATCTCTTTTTCTATTTTAAAAGGGAAATATCAGGGGTCTGTTTAGACTCTTAATATTTCCCTGAAGCCCCTAAAAGTTTAAAATATTTAATAAAAAAATGAATTAAAAAAAAACGTTTATAAAAAATAAATTAAAATATAAAAAAAATTAAAATAAAATAAAAAAAAAA